CAAAATACAAATTAATCAAAATGGGCTAAATTATACATAATCTGGAGAGCTAAGATAGAATGCTTTTAGATCAATATTCATTTTAAAACAAACTTTCTACAATAAAATCATCATCTTACATGAATCAAGAAAGTTCAATTTAAAGTTTTAGTGTCAGAATAAACCGGAGTTAATGAATCGATCTTATGAGGCCAAAGACTGAATTCAGTGTCATCTTTTGAACGTGCTTCTCACTGCACGACTACAGTAAGAATTATTTCTATTTAACATTTGTTTATTAGCCTGACGTTGCTGAGAATGGTGCCTACTCGAAACGGCGTTAACTAAAAGGTTTAATTTAGAAGTACCAACCTTATTAGCCAAAGCATAGTGGCTCATAGAATTGCTCTGAGTTTTTTTCTTAATACAGACTTTGAGCTCATAGTTTCCTCTCTTGACCGATTTGAGATCTAATTGCAGCCGTGGCTATTGAGGGTTCCCTTTTGTTTATTATTGTGTGAGTGTGTTTTTTTCCACACCTGGGTAGATTAATGAGAGCTGACGTATCTCAACTATAATTACTTGTTAATCATGCTATTAACTTATATAACCTAATGTGACACAACATGTTGTATATCACAGTTGTTAATTTGTTATAATTCATTATTAGTTGAAACGCTGTTGCCAACATTAACAGATTGCACGTTTGTAACTGACAGATTCTTATTTAATTTCTTAATGAAGGGAACACTAGCGTTTGGGTTAAAGCATAATAAATGTAGGGATAAATCAGTTCGATATTTGATAAACTAAAATTAAACCCGTGAAGTATTTACTGTTATTTTAACCTCCTTTGCAAATTGCAAACGCTAATCTTGAGTGAGAACTTTACGTACCCAAAATTGATTATTCAGAACAGTTATGATATTGTAGTATATACACATAGATTTATTTAAGCACTGTAAATTTAACAGACTGCTTCCACTATGTTAAATACATGGTGCTACGCTAGTTTCTATTTACGCATAATAAATACCCCCCACCCACGAATAAAATTATATCAATACAAATTTCGTTACATTTAGTTTGTTTATTATGGATTTCGCGCAAAGCTACACGAGGGCTATCTGCGCTAGCCGTCCCTAATTTAGCATTGTAAGACTAGAGGGAAGGCAGTTAGTCATCACCACCCACCGCCAACTCTTGGGCTACTCTTTTACCAACGAATAGTGGGATTGACCTTCACATTATAACGCCCCCACGGCTGTAAAGGTGAGCATGTTTGGTGGGATGGGGATTCAAATCCGCGAGTCAAGCGCCCTAACCACCAGGTCATTCCGGCCCACTATATAGTGCCACTAGTTTGTTTCTTCTGAAACCAACCCTAACCACCTGGCCATGCCGGCCACCATATAGTGCCACTAGTTTGTTTCTTCTGAAATCACCCTAACCACCTGGCCATGCCGGCCACCATATAGTGCCACTAGTTTGTTTCTTCTGAAACCACCCTAACCACCTGGCCATGCCGGCCACCATATAGTGCCACTAGTTTGTTTCTTCTGAAACCATTTAGCCCTGCCGGCCCACCGTATATTGCTACTTTTGAAATCATCCTAACCACCTAGCCATGCCGGCCCACCGTATATTGCTACTTTTGAAACCACCCGAACCATTTAGCCATGCCGGCCCACCGTATATTGCTACTTTTGAAATCATCCAAACCACCTAGCCATGCCGGCCCACCGTATATTGCTACTTTTGAAATCATTCTAACCACCTAGCCATGCCGGGTCTTTACATTTAGTAAACAACAACTACTGCGAACATTATCAATCGCTGAACAAGAAACAAGCGTTCGACTAATACTAACGTTATTTATATTTCCGTTTTAGTATGTTTTACTTGATTTGAATAATCGGAATATTAAGAACTACATTACTAATACATGTATTCTGCTGAAGTAGAAGATTTTACAATACCTAATACTCAAATAATTACTTAGATTTAAGAATAAACTTTACAAAAAAATGGCCGTGTTGATATTTTTCGTAAAAGTCGAGAATTTTCTTTTCAAATTGATGAATGCTTCAGCTGCTGGTTATATCCTTTGATATACTTGGATGTGGTAGAATTTTCAACAAAGTAGAATATATATATATTAATACAAAACTTTTGATTATTAAATTGGAAATTATTTTCTAAGTGTTTTATATTAAGTATTGTTAAGTTCAAGAACAATAACATAAGTAAAACTTTACACAATACTATATACATCTTACGGTAAATTCGCGTCGTATTATAGGTTATTTCAATTCTACTACTTGTTATGCTTCAAAAACAAGCGTATATACATTTGTCATAATTTTGTTATACAACTGAGCATCTATTTGTACAATATGCTGATCCGGAAGAAAGTTGTGTATTGGTCTACATTGTCAGTATTGGGAGTGTAAATTATATATTTTTTTTTGTTTTTAAATGGTATATAGTGCATATAGTCGTAGTGATATTAATTCAAAATTGTTATTGAAATGTTCAACCCTCCTGGTGATTAGATAACGTTTCGATTCATCAAAATATAGTGGAATGAAACATTAACTAATCAAAAATTTATTAAACAATTAAAAATAAGAAACTCTATCGACAGAAGCAATTAAATAAATAGACCATTGAAGATGGTAAATGAACATTACTTCCTGAAGTTGGCAATCATATAACCCACAATAGTAAAGTGCCCGTGTGAACAGTGTAATGAAACGTAAGAGAAATAACGTACTATATTATCGGAATTTGATGTGGAAAATTTCAATTTCCTTTCTTTGAATGCTAGTGTATATTGACCTTGGATCTTTAAATCTAATTAAAATATGATATATTATATTTTTTAAAATGAGATTAAACATGTTATACAGAAATAAAACATATGTCGTATAATGTATCGCTTCCATACTGCGTAAAAAATTGAAAATTGTACACAACCAAGTGAACGGGCTGAAGGAAATATGTTTCTTCTAGATGGACACCCAATACCATGAACCTTTGAAATTCCAAAAGATCCTTGTTCTTCCAAAATTTCTCGTAGATTAACCATGATATCGATACATTTATGAATGTTTTAAGCTCAAGCAACCACCTGACTTATGAAACGATGAGTCTATTTTTTTTGTGTGCAGATCAATAGAGTGTTGCACAAATGTATGCGCTTGTGTGTTGATCTTTAAAATGTTCGCACAAAACTTGGGTTATTCTTGTCCGACTGAATAATGATATTCGATCTTCACTAATAAAGCGCAAAGACGGTTTCAAATTCATGAGCGCATTTTTTTCTGGAAACAAGATATGAACCATAAACCCTTGGATTTACTATTTAGGCAAGACAACAACTAGGCCACGTTCGGCTCGTGTATGTTGGAAGGAAGTCTTATGAAAGCTCTTATTCAGTGCAAACGTCGTAATTGTAAAAAAAAAAAACTCTTACATTCCTCACACAAAAAATTAATCTTCGTAAATGTCTCACTCAATTTAATGAATGCTGTATTAGCTCTGTTACTATAACTATAAACTGTCCAAGTTAGAGGGTGCAATAAACGTTTGCTTTATTGGAATAACATTAACTACTAGAACATAACATAGTAGATAAAGACATTATAACTTTGAAAAAGAATTATATGTACACTGTTTTACACTATCGAAAATCCATAGCAACTTTATGAAGAAAATCATTCCCGCATGAGTAGCATGAATGCTATTATAAAAAAGTTAAACAGATTCTGATTTTTGTTACTCTTGGCTCTTTAACGAAACGGTATATTACTAGCATATCCACAAAACTATCTCCATTTTAAAACCTATTCTCTAAACTTTGTAAGCGTTCTATCGATACATTGTAAAAATCATTATCAATATGTATATTCCTTTAAAATCTTTAGAAACGAATCTGCACACGAAGGTTATAAATATATATAATTTTGCAACATCGAAGGAAATGAAGCAAAAAGAGAAAGCTCTTCAGAACGCTGTGTTACCGAGAGTTTCTTAGTAAAGGATTATTGACACCTTTTTCATCTGCGTACATGGTTAAATCTCATTCTATTATGTTCCGAATAAGAACACTGAAAGTTAGCGTTGTGAAAATGACAGTTTTATTTTGTAGGTAATACATCTGCTTTACATAAACTAATACATCTGTAGTATTATCGATTAATATAAATAGCGCGTTATACAAATTCGTGGTTGGCTGTTTTTCTATATGGAAGTCTTTGAACAAAAAGCTTCTAAACGAGCTTTTTTTCCTAACTGACATTTAAATAGGAAATTATATAAGATAAGTCATATATATGCTTGATAAAAAGGATACAAATATCTTATATAACGTAAATGATGACCAGTTAATGTTGTATAGAATTTAGGTAAGAGAAGTCATATATATGCTTGATGAAAGGGATATAAATATCTTATATAACATAAATGGTGACCAGTTAATGACAGTCAATTTATTATTATGTTCCTATTTCCCTTTTTAGTCGAACTTATTAGTACTTATTTTCTTTATATAACTTTTGAATTAACCAGGAATTAAACCAGCATGTTAAGAACACATCTTTCTCTGCACGTGCTGCTCATCCTTATTACATGCACTTCCCAAGCTAGTATCTAGATTCATATAAACATTTTACAGCATGTTGCACACCTTAAAAAATAATACTGTAAACTTTTGTTAAGAAGGAAGCAATAATATTACGGAGATTTAATTCGTTTGCTTATATACATCAAAATACAAAGCAACCTAGTGTATAAGACAACTGAGTGATTGGTCTTTTTTTTCCCATAAGCTTTCTGCTATAAAATCAAACAACCCACTAACAAATGCTTTAATTTGAATGTTAATACATTTGAATAATCATGTAATACACGTATTACCATTCATATTAATCCCCTTCATTTCCAAATGCTATTTAAAAAAAAGAAAATTGTTGTATAGGAAAAGTATTTATGAAAATATCATATAAACGACTACTCACCAATTACGTCCAACCAGAAGCAGATATTTTCTGTACGATCGTGTTTATAATCTACACGACATCTATACTGTCCACTGTCTTCCTGTCTGATGTCTTGAATTCGAAGGACGGAAGGAATTTCATCAACATCAAAGTAGGCCCTATCACCAAGAATGTCACTTGGGAAATGCTTTGGGTGATTGTTGAGTCCATTCCTGGCATCAAGTGTATAAATGGGTGTTGAAGAATTACCCCGATACCACAAAACCAGTGCTATTCCGTCATCAGAGAGTATAGTGAAATTACAAGGAATTTCTGCTACGTCGCCCAGAAGAGCTTCATAAGAGGGCAGACCTGGTTGAAAAGACAAGTTTACACGTTTTATCTTTACCTTAAACATTATAAGAAGAACATAATATAGCCCTACTCAAAATACGTACATACTTCATATATTTATATGATAACACTAACGACTGTCTCGTTCCATTCTGAACTCTTTATAAGCTGAATATTATTAACATAAATACCCTAACGTACACTTTCAGCTGTCTGTCAATTTAATAAAGAGTAAAACTTAGGAATCTCACAGATACTCGTAATCATAGGGAAAACTTGAGCGAATCAAGGTCCAAAAAATATACCGTCGTTTAGGGATAACAGAAGTAATTATGTTTAAAACCACCTTTTTTTTTCATCTCATTCAAGAAAAACAC